TAAACAAGGTACTTTATGCCTTTTTGCTTGGAACAAAGGAACCATTAGACCTAAAACAAAAGGCATCTCATATAAAGTATCCACACGTATTTGGAGGATGTCCGTGACAAAGAAATTTATAAAAGATTTTCTCCACTTTTATATGTTGGGAAAAAAAATTTGGCCTTTAATTGAAATTCTGAGATGCTCTGTGCTTGAATGAGGAAACCCAATTTTTATACCCCAAACAGGTTTAAAGTGGTTCTAAAGCCAAAAATTTTTTACTTCAATTCCTAGCCCCATTCCCCACTCTATCCTTAACCTTCAGATTGTAGTTGGGGGATGGACTTTCTTTAGCTCTGCTGTTTTTAAAGATCATGTCCCATGTACTGGGGAGCAGATGATGACTGTAGTGCTAAATATTAGTAGTTCTCATTTGTCTCCTGTCAGTATATATGCATAGGGCAGTTTGGCTGAAGTTCTGGACTGCAGAACTGTATTGTAATAAGTGTTTGGTCTGAAATGGCTTTTCAGGGGCAACAACTCTTCTGACCATCTCTAGATATTCTCAAGGATGTTACCAGTGGCAAGAACACTCATTTTCCCAGCAGAAGAATCCTAAAGAGTAGAGAGGAAATTAAGCTGGGTACACATTGACAATTTTTTTTCTTTCATTATTATTATTCAACAAGCTGGTTAAAAAAAAAAAAAAGACCCCCACATCAACACAAGTGATGTTGATGCAGGAATCTTTCCTGCTGAGCTATTGCATTCTGACAGCAAGGACTCCCTCGTTGACAACAACGCCCCTGCCAACCCCACCCCTCCCCGATCATCAGACCAGCTTCTGTTAAACAGAGAAGCATAGACAGATAACAAAAGTCACAGTTCCTGCTGAACCAGACGAATTTTGGTACATGTGTACCCAGCTTTCATCTCCCTCTCTCAGCAATGAGAGGTATCCGTTTTTATTTCTCCACTTAATTTCAGTGTGAAGGCCCTCCAAGGTTTGCTCCCCATCCACCCACAAAGTCTGGCAGCCCCAGGCACATTGTCAGCGTAGGTTACTCCAACAGATTGTTCCACTGCCATTTCTTCAGCATTCAAACAATCTGTTGGAAGGTGAACTGATCTGAATTCAGCCAGATAATGCCACAGCAGTGGTGTACATCAGTCATCAGGGAGGAACCAGAAGTTTATTCATGACGAGGTAGAGCCTTTTCTCCAGAATTCCAGCCTTGTCAGTCATTTACTTTCCAAGCATAGATTATTGGCAGGAATATTTCCTAAGCAAGCAGCAAAGTGGTTAATGGTTAGCACTTCTGCCTGGCAGTACTAAGGTTGTTGGTTCAAATCCCAAACACGGCACCACCTGCCTGGAGTTTGCATGTTCTCCCTGTGCCTGCGTGGGTTTCCTCCGGGTACTCCGATTTCCTCCCACGTTCCAAGGACTTGTTGGTAGGTTAATTGGAACCTGTCTAAATTGGCCCTAGTATGTGTATGTATGAATGTAAGTTAGGGACTTTAGATTGTTTGCCCCTTGTGGGTTATGGACTGATGTGAATGTACAATATATATGTAAAGTGCTGCGTAAATTGATGGCGCTATATAAGTACCTGAAATAAATAAAATAAATCTGGACCTGGGATAGTGGTGTCTATACCTGAGGTATTCAAAGACCTGTTTTGCAAGTTTGGTTGGAATGGGGCTCCATGATGAAAATACTGGAAAAGGTTTTTTATCCAGTTACAGGGATCCTCTTAACGTAAGCATTGGTGGCTCAGTACACCCTTATCAATGCATTTTTTCCTCGGGATCAAGGTAGAGGGCTATTAAGGTGATCCTCGTTGCTCTGGATTGGCCGAGGCAGATGTGGTATGCCATCCTGGAAGGACTTTTAATAGATGCACCATGGGCCCTGCCAAAATGTCCTGATCCATTTCGCCATCCTGCATCTTGGTTGCCAGTTTTGGTGGCATTGCTATTGAAGCCTGGGTTCTGAGGGACAGGGCCATGTGAGCATTCATTCTTACCATGTGAATTGCTGGAAGTCCACTATCTTTGGATGTGGAAGGCATTAACTTCACACTCCTTGTTTGAGACCCCCCTGTGCAGGATGTCTTTAATGTTTTCTTTAGGACATTCCATCTGTGACTGGGATCTGAACTGGCTCCTCTCAGCTTTTCAGAAGCTGCTGGTTAAACACATTGGAAACATTCTTTTCTCTACCCTCACCCACAAGGTTGCTTTCTCTAGCTATTGCCTCTGTGAGATGAGTGTCTAAAGAGGTGGTCTTATCTTGCAACAAAACCTTGCTTATTTTGCAAAGGAACAAGGCAGTGCTGATGCTCAAGACTCAAGACCTTCTTTTTCCTAAGTTAAGCTGGCCATAGATGGATCAAACTCTGCGGTTCAGCAGGTACTGGCTGAAATTCGATCTATCTATGGTCAAGGCGGATTGTACACAAGTTGATCCATCAATTGACTTTGGTAAAACTAGCATGTCGGATTCTTAGCATGGGATTATAGCCGCTAGCAATACTTATTGTGTTCTCCCGGCAGGAGCATCTCCCCATGCCGCATGAAATAACAGCAGAGAGGGTGCACTGGCCTAGTGCATTATCTTTATACCTGTTTTAATAAGAGGAAAAATAAGTTATCCTACTCACAAACCAATAAAACATGCTCATCATAAATATCCACATGTAGAACCTCCAGAACCACTATGCATGCTTCTTTTACACTGGGAAGATGCCACACGGGTCTGCAAGTGCTGATACTTTTCGAGGGGGTCCACTTTTCATCATTCGTCATACAAGAAGCATGCATAGTGGTTCTAGCGGTACTTCATGAGGATATTTCTGATGAGCATGTCATTCTTATTGGTTTGTGAATAAACAGTGTATAAAGATTATGCACTAGGTAGTGCTCCCTTTTTCGTTTTGTTTTTTTTCATACACGTCCATTTACACGTGCCAGTCCATAGGGATGAATGGACCATCCGATCTGGTCCACCTGAAAAACAAGTACGATCATAAATACAGACTTGTATCCCTCAGTGGGAAAGGGATTTTATTCCAGTACAAAAATCTTTTTTTTTTTCTTTTTTTTTTTTCTTCCCTTTCCTTGTTCACACAGAGACATGGGTAGTCCTAAACCCTTGGGCCCCTTTCATACAAAGGGTCCGATAATGTCCACCTGTGCATTTTTCAGGCGGGACCTGACCACCTGACCAGAAGGTCCATTCACCCCTATGGACTGGTGGGGGTAAATGGACTTGTATGCAAAAACAACATAGAGAGGGCCCTCCGGCCTAGTACATTATCTTTATAAGCACCCTAGTGCGCCTCCATTTCTGTCAGTTACTTTTGAATTCTGAATGATGTTGAAGGTACAACAGTGTTGCGCTACATTGTTCTATGCAGTAATGTGCATTGCCCCTATACAAATTTTGAAGCTTAATAACATATTAAGAGAGCAGTGTGGATAGCCTATGACTTCTGAGCTGTGCAGCCTGTAGAGATAAAAACAAAAAGTCATAGAGAATCCGGTCCTGCTGCTTTGCCTACACAGCAGCTGGGTATTCTTCTGGAAAAGACGCAAGAAACCTAGTTTTGCAATTTTTACTTATTTATTTTTACTTGCAATTTTAAGGTGAAGTTCATCTTTAGGGGGGGCCCAGTATGTTAGAATGCACCACGTTATGCTCTCTCTGTCCTATCCCAGCAACTCTGAGCCGCTAGTGGGGCACACTATGCATGCTCCTTTTTGTTTTGTTTTTTTTAAATATAAAGTATACTGCCTTGACGCATGAACCCAGTGTCTGCAGTGTTCAGCTATCGTGGACAAGAGAATGTAATGAATATATTGGGTAAGCATTGAGGGTGCCAGCACACGCTAACTGGTATGCCAAACACAAACTATAAACTGCACAGTGCATTACAACGTACAGGGGCCATTTTAGTGAAAAGGTAAACTTGGCCTCCAAGAGTGTTGCAAAAAAAAAAAAAAAAAACAACAAAAAAAAAAAGTTTCTAAGTAAAATACTTTTCCTTTTTTCCTGGAATCATTCATAGCACTGCTTAACATGTTAACCTTAACTAGAGTCAAAATTTGTGAATCAATTATTGGGAACAGTGCTGTCATTGATACCTGTTCTCTACACTTATATTTCAGTATTAAAAAGAGTGGACTTCCCTTACTCTTCTATAAGGAAAAAGCAAGTTTATTTTTTTCCTAAATTAAATCTTTAAATTAATAAACTTGATACACACTAAATCTTGCCAGAAGTTCCCCCACTATGCTGAATGTGTGTTTGTGTACCCATTGGAGCGCTTTCCCATCACTTTCTGTCTTGACAGGAAGTAATGGTCATAATTCCAATAGGGACACAGATGGCAGTTGAACTCTGACAGAGGTTCTAATCTTTCCCACGCTATCCTATCTTGACAGTTTTCAGAAACACTGGAAACAGTCAATATTAGGGTTTACATGAATGATCATGCACCTGTATAATGGTTATGTGCTTGATTTTACTACATGGTTTTCTTGAATCCTAAGAACTTCTTAAACAGGTTGTAGACGCTTGTAATTATTTATATTAGAAAACTTGTGTTTTAGGGTTACCCTCCATGGATTGTGTGGTTAGTTCTCATGGAATATTGGTGATTACTTCCACATTATGTTCCTGGTGGCAGGAATCATCCATGCATTTATGGTTTGATGTTGTCCATTATTTCCATTGTGCAGTATTTTTCTTCTGCATGGATTTTTTTTTTGTTATCATAGTTTCAGTTCATCAGTAACTGTGACGCTCAGGTCCTTTTGGCTTGTCACTATCCTTCTTGTCATTATCAGAAGTGACTGCCTCCTAGCATCACAGGCAGCCTTCCCCTTGAATGGCTTTTACAGAGGAAGCCTGCACATAAATGGATCACTGAGTGTTGGCTTTGTAGGATTGGAGCTCGTAATGCAAATCCAGGTCTTTCTTTTTGATGGGATTTGCTGTGTTGTGCTTTCAGCTTCTGCAGAGACTGTGGAGACCTCACGCTGGACTGAAGAAGAAATGGAAGTTGCTAAAAAAGGTAAAGATTTCCAGTTTGGTTTCCGTGGTAAGACGTAGATGCTGCTAATGTAGCTGATTTTTTTTTTTTTTTTCCGTTTTTGTGTGTTGTTCAGTATTGTAGTTGTGGCATTTTATTTGCTGTTAGGAATGGTTGCAATGTATGTGAAACTATAAGTGGCTGTGCGTCTGTTGAAAAGTCACAGGCCCAATTTTTCTACAGTTCAAAGCTACAAATGGTGGGAATGACTGGGGAAGACAGCCATTGGTTAATTGCAGGTCACATGGCCACATATAGTGTTGACAGCTGTGTTTATCTGCATTGGGGCACTGTACTCTTATGTACTCTTGCTACTGTGCTTATTTTTTTTTATATAGTATATTTCTAAAAGTGCAGGACCCCAAGATATGCAGGAGTTTAATGCTACATAACTTTTCTTTCTTTTTAATTCGCTATAGCCAGATCTGTGTCTTAGGCTGCTACAAAAAGTATTTGTACAGTCCTAAATATTTTTTGTAATAATTTGTTTCTCAATACAAGCTAGAATCCTTTGCAAATAATATGATGGTAAAACAACCTTTGAACTTTGAATTTAAATGCTTCATCTACATTTTTAAAGTGCTCCTCCTAGGATGATGGAAAATTTCTTATCCCCACATAGGGAAATGTTGGGGTATAAGACCTGCACCCCAAAAAGGACACCTTCTTATAACCACTGATTAGTTGCCACCCTTTCTTTTTTGCCTTGCTTGGGAAAAAGGTTTAAAATGTTGTCAAGCTGGTATTTTTTCTTTTTTTTCTTTTATCCATTTCCAAAGAGTGTGCCCTTTTCACATTCTGCTTTAATGGGTTTGGGTTTGGGCTTGTGTTCTTCCTTGCATTGAGATCTTTCCCTGATGGGTCTTGTTGAAAGCACAAATTAACCATATTTTATTGTTAAATGTAACCAGCTTCACTGACCGTATGTGTGCTGATACATTTGATTCTGTGCAGTATTACTACCCTGGATGAAAAAGAGCTTTTGGAAGGTAATCACATGAACCAAATGAAAAGTATCACCGCTCACATGCTCATGTCAGATGTGCCAACTCAAACACTGCCAATGGGTCTGTGATCAGAGCTTATCGAGCCCCGCCATATAGCCACAAAAGTTACTATGGCCTCTACGCTTAAGCCCTACATCATTGAAACATGTTCCTGATAGGCAGAGAGCCAGCGGAGAAACATTCTGTGATCATTTGTTTGGTGATTAACTATATTGGTGTGCAGTCCTGGGAAACATTTGAAGCTTTTGGAAGGTGTTAGAAAGGGAGGGTGACTCTGTTGAAGACTGTACAGGCCAGCCATTAAGTTATCCATGTATATGAGATGTTTGTCCCCATCCACTGATAAAGGTTCAATTGGGAGACTGTTGTATTTGTATGGGCATATTTCCCGTGGTGTTTGCGCAATGCATAGATGTATGTGATTTTGGCAAAGTGGTTCTACACAATTTTTGTGGTAGTTGGTTGTTCCATTTGCCATCTCGTGTCTAAGGCTAGCTGTAAATTAGAGCTGTGGCTAGGATGTCAACATTAAAATATTTACATATTCTTATTTAGCAGTAAGTATCTTTAAAACAGGAGCCCACAACTTTACTGCTTCTTTTGTGAAAGTTGAGCATAAATTGTTCCACAATGCTTGCAGCTATGTAGATCAGTGAGGGATTTTTTATTTACTGCTTGTTAAGTATATGTGTAAATATTTAAATGTCTGTGGCCTGGTCACAGTATCAAAAGGTGGGAACGGGCATTATAGAACAGTTGAATATCGAAGCATCTTCTACTGTAACTGCATGAGCAATCTTCCCTCGGGCATCTTTTTCTAGCTGACATGAACAGACTGTTTACACCAATGGAAAGAGGTGGGGGAAGCATTCTGCAGACTTCTTAAGCATTCAGTCTCTATCAACTCCCCCCCCTTCTTTCCCAAGTACCTTGAGCTCTTGACTGCACGTTCCGCAAATACTCCATTCTCCAATCCTAGGGGTGTCCTTACTTGAAGCTGTGTTTTCAAGTTTTAACCTCCAGCATCCTCTACAAGTAAATTTGGTATGGTTTCCAAGCTAAAAATTCAAATCTGTGTGCAGGACGACAAGAAAAGAACAAGTGGGACAAATTTTCCATAATCCAGGAAAACCTTTTTTTGAAATGTTAATGTTTTATCATATTTACATTTTAACAGTGGTACGCAAGAGCATGTTAACTATAGGATTCTAGCTTACATATTGCTTGGAATTTCTATACTTCAGATAAGCTTGCCTATTTACATGCACTCAGTGCTGGACAGTTCCCAATTTTCTTTTGGGAGGAAAATACATTGAATAACATTGCCAGCATGCATGTTTTGTTCACAGATGTTTGTGTTTTTTATGTAAAGTCCTACTTTCTGGACATTTACCGGGAGATGAGCAAGTTAGTCTGGATCATAGTTGATCTATCTGATTTTGATGATTCATGAATATTGTTAACTAATGTTTAATCAAACAAACCTATTTAGCCAAATCAATTATTCATTGAATATTCCTTATTCTGCAAATCAATTTGCTCATCTCTGTGTTTGTTTGCTGCCAGCACTTTATTATCAAATGTTTATAATGAAAGATTTGAACATACATGTCCATGCGTGCATGCTTGTCTGTATTTGTAAGGATTTTGATGTGAACCTGTCAGTTTAGATCTGTGGGAGCTGCTATTGCAGTGTCATGTGGATAATGTAAGCTGTGTGACTGTCATCCTTATCTTTGCTGCTTCACTGAGTCCCCTGACCAGCATGCAGCAAGTAAAGTGTCAGAACACCTAATATACTTGTTCAGGTGCACTGATTAGTCAAGTAATGAAGGAAGAACAGGAACAACAAACCCATTTACATCTTAAAAATATCAGGCAATGGAATCTCACATATTTTTTTAAAGGAAAGGTGTCTGTTTAAGGCCTGTTTTCACACTATGGTGTGAGGCACCTGGGTCAAAGATGGCCTGAGGCTTTAACACAGAACTACCAACATGATCAAGAACATCTTAACTGGATGTAACTAAAGTGTACTGAAAATGGTGCATGAAGGACTTTGCATATACCATGGCTTGAAATGTGTACAACACCATTGGCACTAGTGAAATCAGTTTCTTCCATTTTAGAAACTTGTGAATTTAAACATTTTCGTTTAATTGGTATTTTTAAATTTTTTGGGGGGAATAAAATTGCAAAATGCCTGCGTGGGTGAAAATTACCGCAGTAAGCAGCTCTGACCTCTATAGAGAAGGTAAAAAAGTCTTTACCTGGAATAACTCGAATAATCCTCTGCTAATGCAGCCACACAGTGTGATTATCGGAGCAGCAGAGTTTCTTGTAGTGCTTGACATAGTTCTAGTTCGTTTCAGGTGAGCAGAACAGGAAGGAAAGAGAACTGACAGCTTGTGTTATATTCAGAAGCCTTTTCTTCTCAATGCAACATAGCTCATTGTTTTCACGTGCATAGAAATATGATGTCCAGTGAAATTGCTTTTGGTAGTGCATTAAAAAAATCTTTATGTTCTGCCTTTCAGCCTTCATATCAATGGAAAGTATTGAAGTATTGCCTAAGTCCTAGGCTTTTTTGTTGAAGCAAAACTCCATGTTTTGTTTTTTGTTTTTTTTTGCCCCCGTGTTGTGGGGCTATGCCCACTTCATGGGTTTACTGCTCTTTTTGTTTAGGGGCCCACCGAAAGGCTACACTTACCCAATCCTTCAGTCCTCCAGAAAACCGCATTACCCATCTTCAATGGTGGTCTGCCACCTCATGTCCAGAGCCAGTCTATGGGCATGATGATGTCAGGAACAGTCCATTCACAAGACTGCTAGCATGCAGGGGGATGTTAGGAGTGACTGGGAACAGTCTTGCTCTTTGGAGGATCAGCGAATTAGGTAAGTATATCTCTACTCTGAAATCTCCTAGACAAAAACGAGCAGTTAACCCATGCAGTGTGGGCACAGCACAGCATGGGAGATCATTTTTTTTTTGCCCAGAATCTTCTTTTAATATGTTGTCATCTTGTTGACTTTTGTGACTGTTAAAACTGGTTTCTGTAAACATTTAGAGTATTTTAATAAGACCCCACCTTCAGAATTTTTGCATTCAGAATTGAGATCTAATAGCCAGACTACATCTGTTAAGGTTACTACTATTGGCAAGTATTTGATAGATGCATTCATACAATAACCACGTGTGGCAGTTTTTTTAATTCCTGTACAGTTTGGAAGATCACTCTTGCTTGGTAAGTTTTTGGTTATAATGGTGTTTTGCTAAATATCTTGTAGCTTAGTTCTTCCATGCTGGTCTGGGGACTGGAGTATTGCCTCCTCAAAGTGTCACCTGAATAAATTCATAGATGTTTCCATACTTCTTCAAATTCTGTAACTTGTGATTATTATACTAATGTCTGGAAATTAAAAAAAAAAACTTTTGAGCAGTGGCCAGTCGCTGTAACCACAGACATATATGTGGTCCTCAATAAACTGTAATCTACAATCCCAGTGTTAAATAGTCTAGTGGATATTAAAGCTGGACTCTGGGATAAGCAAATATTTTCTAAATACAAGAGGCATTTATATATTTTCGAGTCTTGGTTTGCTTTTTGTATTTCTCCCAGATCTCTGCAGTAGTCCAGCATTAAACTTTGCCTTTGTGAAAAGCTAATAAAGACCTGTCAGTATTATTCTCTCTTTGTGCAGGCTGACTGGTCTGGTCTCCACCCTCTCCTTTAGTTTTCTACAGCCCACAGCAGTTTTGTGCACAGGCTACGTGCAGCACAGTGAGGATTCACTGCTACTTTTACAGGATGTTAATTAGGTTTACAAAGACATTTAGTACACAAAGCACATTTATATCTTTGTGGCTATAGAGAAATATATTTAAATGACAGATTGCCTGGAGGTCAACTTTAAATCTGCTAATAGGTGGGTGGCCCTGCTGACCCCACCTGACTTGACAAACCTTAAGGCCTC